AACGACAGTCGCCTGCGCGGTGACAGCGTCTGGATATCGTGTTCTACGTGGGCATTCGAATTTCTGCTTTGGAAAGAGGATGAGAGAGAGAGAGAGAGAGAGAGAGAGACGGATGAAACGTGTAGAATTTTCGAGCTGTCTCGGACTCGTTCCGTTTCAGTTCCAACCAGGAGGATAGGAGGTGTACAATCGTGGAGGCGAGCTCATAGGTGTAACCAGCTGCAAAAACACGAACGACGACCGAGGGGGTGGCGGCCGAGCGTGGAAAGGGGATGATAAAGAAGGTACAAACGACGACGGAGAGCGCCATTCCGCAGGAAAACGTACGACATTGGCTTTTATGCGCGCAATAATGCGAGAGCGCCGGCTGTCAGGGCCGTAGGACGCGTTGCAGGAAACGCACACACGGGGCCCCTTCCCCCGTGTCCCTTCGACGCTCGTTATTTTTCTCAATTTCGCGAAGAGAGAAAAAGAAGGGGAGGAAGAGCTTGTTGAGGAGGGAGAGAAAGAGAGAGAACGTTGGAAGATTCGGAGCTCGTTCCGGGGGCGCACTTTATCGTCGACACGTAGCTTTTATTTTCGCCCCGGCCGAAAGAATATGGGGGATGGAATTACACCGCCGCGCGACGTACGAATTATTGTCGGCCGTTTGTTTTGCGTTCGTGTAACTCGCGAGAGACCAGCTGCGTGAGGACTTCTCTCTCTCTCCGTCAGATCGGTTGATCGACGATCAGTACTTGTGAAGTGTAACGAAATCTGTGTGTTGTGCTCCGTTTAAAGACTGGTTGTGCTCTAGGAAACACGCCTCTTTGCTCGATGATTCGACAAAAGATGAACCTAGTTCTCAGTGCTCCAGCTTTCACATTCGAATTGCCTAGATCTCAGGACTCGAGCTTTTAGGTTCAAATTGCTTAGTTCTCAGTGCTCGAGCTTTTAGATTCAAATTGCTTAGTTCTCAGTGCTCGAGCTTTTAGATTCGAATTCCCTAGATCTCGGTAGTCGAGTTTTTACGTTCGAATTGCCTAGATCCCAGTACCCGAGCTTTTAGGTTCAAATTTCCTAGTTCTCAGTGCTCCAGCTTTTACATTCGAATTACCTGAATCTCAGTACTCGAGTTTTTACATTCGAATTGCCTAGATCCCAGTACTCGAGTTTTTACATTCGAATTGCCTAGATCCAAATACTCGAGTTTTTACGTTCGAATTGCCTAGATCCCAGTACTCGAGCTTTTAGGTTCAAATTTCCTAGTTCTCAGTGCTCCAGCTTTTACATTCGAATTACTTGAATCTCAGTACTCGAGTTTTTACATTCGAATTGCCTAGATCCAAATACTCGAGCTTTTAGGTTCAAATTGCCTAGTTCTCATTGCTCGAGCTTTTAGGCTCGAAATGCCTAATTCTCGATGTTCAAGCTTGTAGGTTCAGAAGTGCTTCGTTCTCGATTCTCCAGCTTTTAGGTTCTTACTGCCTCGTTCTCGATTTCCATCCCGAAAACATCGATAGCCAGGTGTAGGGCGAGGGGAATCCGCCAATTTCCCCGCGGACCTTCTTCAAACTCGGCGACACTTTTATGGAAAATGACGTGTCAGAAATTCGCGCTAGGTCCCGTGGTTTCTTTTGCAGATCGGCTGTGAATAATGCACGACGACGGCTCGCGAGGATCCGCTCTCGTTCTCCTCGTATTTTCCGGATGACGCGAGGAAAACAGACACGGTTGTGTATAAGAAGCCAGTAGCATCCCCCGTTTGCTCCTTCACGTCGGGAGTACCTTTCGTTTAATCCGGTTGAGTGCGACAAATCTTTCCGTCCTCCTCCCCGTGGACTTCTTCTTGCCTTTCGTGCTTTATTCCACTTTTCCTCCCTTCTCCTTCGGTCACCTTTCTCTATCCTCCTTCTGCCCGCCCATTCCCCTTTTTTCCGCGTTCACCCCTTAATCTCTTCTTCGCCCCCGTGTGCCTTTTGCGTCATCCCGGAACCTTCTTCGTTCCCCTCCTCCGTCTCGTTTCTGGTTCGAATGAATATTTAATTCCTACTTATCCGACCGTAGCGGAGGACGCACGGCATAAGCGCGAATAAATAATCCGGGGAACAACGCGCGAGGAAGATGCATCTTAATGGTAATCCGCAGACGACATCTGCGCCTCGGTTCTCTCCTCGGTTTGTTTTCGATATTCAGGTACCCGTTCATCGATTGTTATTCTATGGGATGATGATAATAGTTGACACACAATAAATAATAATAATGTAAACTATATTTAATATGGAACTGTTATAAAAGACAATCAACTCTACTTTCACCCAACAGAATGCCCTGAAAAGATTCACACCTACAACAAGACACCCACAAACTGTGCAACCCTCGCTCTCGAACCGTATTCCATTCTTAGAAATTCCAATCAGCCAATACTAAGCTCAAACAGTCACACGAAATTCTTCCACACGAAGCTAAACAGATGTTATTCGCACTTAACTTTTGGATACCCCTCTCGTTCAGCTACCATCACACCCACGACCGATTTATACTACATTCGCTCACATAACACACTGTTACAGCGTATATATTCCGTTTCGATGCGTAGGGGCGTAGAGAAATAGATCGTAATATGTATTTCGCGAGAAGTACAGAATAAAGGTGTACCATAACTCCGTAGATCGTGGATCTTCGAACGGATACGTCTCTAGATTCTCTGTGCTTTCTCTCTCCGATTTTCCATCGATTGTGGATCGTAGGTGAAAATTTACCACCTTTTCCTCCTGACAGCCCAGTAACGGGGTGAACACCTCTCCCTTCGACAGCTCACCAACCCACGGGATCTTCGACGTTTCGCAGTATGAGAAGGTTCATTGGATCGTTGCATATTTCAATCTCCATGGCGTGCAATAAAACGAACGACATATCGAACGCTGGCTAATACACGCCTACGTTCTCTCGGGACTCTGCACGGATTCTTCCCTGAGAACGGTTCCACGTCGATTCGAGATATATCAATGGCCATTTTATTGGACACGTTTAGTGGCATGTCGGTCATCGGTGATCGCAAGTAAACCTTCCGTTCAGGCCCTGTCAGACAGACGCGGTTATTAGAAACTATTGTTAGTTCGATAGTCATATTTCCAACACTTTTCCTATTCATAAGCGTTGTGCAATTTTCTCCCTAGCAATTCTTGCAAAATTTCTCTAACATTCGTTCAAACAACTGTCACATCGCGTGGCGTGAACGGGAAAAGGTCGTGAAAATATCATCTCAAGAACTTAACCTGTTAATCCTTCGACTACTTATAGTTTAGATTATTTAAATACCATCACAATACTTTTCTGTAAAATTAATATCACAGTACAATTTAAACCAAGACAACCTACATCTATCGACTAAAAGCATACATTTTCAACTATTTATGACTTTAAAAAAAAAAAAACGAAATAAAGCGTGTCTGGCTACGAACGACCGTTTCCACTGTGGCAATCGACACTCTATCGACTAAAAGCATACATTTTCAACTATTTATGACTTTAAAAAAAAAAAACGAAATAAAGCGTGTCTGGCTACGAACGACCGTTTCCACTGTGGCAATCGACGTGTTAACACCATCGATCACACTGTACTCGAACGAAAAGGAACAAGGTCGCTATGTGTCCCCCGTACAAATTCTAGAACGGGCGAAACGGGTTCGTACGATTATTCCTTCGTGGTTATCTAGTCGCGTTCGATACAGTATACCGCGAGCCGTGGATCATGGATCCCCGTCCACCCGCCGCCGCTGCGTCGGGTTACAAATATAGCGGGGAGTACATAGTAGGAACGCGCGGTGCGTGTACGCAAAACGGAGCGAAAGATATCTCCATCGGGCTCCCGCGGCCGAGGCTAATGCACTCTAATCTAGCCTGCCTCTATAGATAGAGGCCCCTCAATGCCATTCACTGCACGTACGTATGCACAGGCTGCACACAGAGCGGCGGCGACGGTTGCACCCGGCGTCGGTCGTGCAATGCACCGCCGTGAACCGCAGACCTTCGCCGAGCCAGACGGTATCGGAATTATTTGCACGGCTTGGGACGACGACGACGGTTCGCGGCTGCCGTTGTCGCCGTTCTGGCTGGGTTTTGCAAAAATTTCAAGGGGGCTTCCTGTGCGATCCTCCGCGTAGTCTGGCCTCTGAATTATCGCGATCATTGGGGGAGCTGGAAAGACTTGGGAAAATTGTCTGCTGTCGCGACGTCTGTGTATTTCGAGACATCTAGTGTCTCGTGGATGAATTTTTTTTCTTTAAGTCGTTCGCTACCAATTTATTGTGATTTCAGGAACGTTGGTCACTGACCACTATAATAGGTCCTCGTCGGTGTTTCCGGTTGAATTGTCGTACTTTCTTGATTAGATATTAACCCTTCAACGCCCGGATTTCTTACCATAGATTATTAGATTGTGCTGTGACTTATGTTGTTACTAGGTATTCGTGAAAATTACGACTGAATGGAAACATTGTGATGGTTTGGAAAAATATAATTTCTGTTGGAGTAGAAACAACCTACGTTATAAGTATTTGTGATGGTCAGACTTGAAAATAGCGAAAAATTCAGGCAGTAATTATTCAGCGTTTGATTGAAACATGCTGATTTTTTAGAATCGTCAGAATTATGAGACTGATACATATCGACGTCGAAAATATCGATATTAAATCGACATATTTTGTCATTTTCTGTAATGTTTACGTTTAGAGGGAATAATTGAATTTCCCACAGAAGTCTACTTTACTATCAGTGAAATTACGCGTCCTTGCTGGCGAAAATTAGATATTAATAGACGACATAGTTTCATGGAATTTTAAAACGGGTGTTGCACCGATACAACACTGGAAATTACAGGATTAAAAGTACAAAAAACAGAGATGACGAATAACACAAAATATAGATGGCTATTGCAAAAGACATTCTGCTTTTATTGAATAAGAAATGCTGACCTAGAAATTGGACAGTCAGACATATGTGACTGCTGGTAGCGAACGTGTATTAAAATGAAATTCCGTGAATCGTGGATGAAGCTGGCAGAGAAAATCGATGGTTCAGGGGAGAATCGAAAAGGTACATGGTGTGTGTCTGTGTGTGTGTGAGAGCTTGTCAGACGGTTCTGAACTTTACGCGCTAAAGGACAAAGTGGTGGGATATTTCAACAGTCGACGTCGCGTTCTGTGAGTCGAAGAGGACAGATTCGCGACGGTTGGAACTTACACACTGCCGATAATTGCGATTGATTGCCTCTCGCGACATTCCCGGTATACTGAATAGCGCGTGATTCAGAATTCCGAAAGAAACACACTCGCGTTACAATAGAATTCCCTCGAGAGGCCTCTGTGTTTGACATTTAAACGCCGTTTCGAATGCAAGTACTCCGTGACAGTCTCGTGGATTTAGTGCTACGTTGGGGAGCGAGATAGCTGGCACTCTTTGCGCTTGTTTTCCCTCTCGATTGCTCAATCCGTAGCTGACAGGTGTGCATTCCTTTCCTAATAAATTGCACTTCTTCTTTAACTCTTATACTACCTTATACGTTTTTCGGAAACCGTTCAAGAATACCTTGAAAAATATGCGATTTTTGAGTTATCCATTAAAAGTACCATTTCTCTTAAAAATAAATATATTTTCACTTTCATTTTTTATTTTATCATTCTTATCCAGTAAATGTACATATTAAACTTATATTATATATGTTTATATTAAAGATGCCAATGTATCAGTTCTAAAATATTAAAAGTGTTAAGGCTTCCCGTCTCTTTCTACGCCTTTCGTGGTTATCAGGAACGAAACTGGGTCCATAGATCCAATAGAAAATTCTTCTATAGCGTATCTTCGACTTGCCAAGTTTCTCCTCTTAACGCCCGGATCATTTTTGCCAGCCGAGTGAAACTAAGAGAAAGATTCAGTAGGCGTCGCTTTGCGGATACGCAAATAGCGCTTGCTACTCGTCGTGACCGACGATTTAGCGTCTCGCCTCCACCCACACCGCGCACGATCTATAGATCCGGACGGGATATTGGATGCTTCACGCTTAGCCGCCGCGGCGGTGAGATCGCGATAACACGCGCAAACAGACTGGTTCACGCAACAAAGTCCGCGATAATCGGTTGGACAAGGACGCTGCCGAAGACCACGGAAGAGAAGGACCGTTTGTCGGAGACCTATTAATTTACCGGGAGAACGGTTCCTAAACGTCGCGACGACACCGCTAATTACCGCAGATTATCGTTTCCGTTCTGGTTTCATCGCGCCGCTTCGATGACCACAGCCGATCTCTATTTCGTGTCGCGGATGCGAGTCGTTTCTTACGTCGTATGAATCGAATCACCGACGCACAAGGTATCGAAAATGGAATCACTAGGACGCAAGGAATCGAAAATCGAATCATTATTACGCAAGAAATCGAAAATCGAATCATTATTACGCAAGAAATTGAAAATCGAATTATTATTACGCAAGAAATCGAAAATCGAATCATTATTACGCAAGACATTGAAAATCGAATTATTATTACGCAAGAAATCGAAAATCGAATCATTATTACGCAAGAAATTGAAAATCGAATTATTATTACCCAAGAAATCGAAATTGAATCATTATTACGCAAGAAATCGAAAATCGAATCATTATTACGCAAGAAATCGAAAATCGAATCATTATTACGCAAGAAATCGAAAATCGAATCATTATTACGCAAGAAATTGAAAATCGAATCATTATTACGCAAGAAATTGAAAATCGAATTATTATTACGCAAGAAATTGAAAATCGAATTATTATTACCCAAGAAATCGAAATTGAATCATTATTACGCAAGAAATCGAAAATCGAATAATTATTACGCAAGATTAAGGGTTAATAACTGTCTAGAAGAATAGAAAAAGTGTTTGTGAGATTTAAGAAATTCAAGAATTTCGTTCGAATACGTACACTGTTTCGCGGTTGAGTGTTTTAATATAGCCTCGGCTATTATTGCGTTCGCTCACTTGTGTCGTCCACGATTCGCGTTTCACCGGTCGTGATATCGATCTGATAATTACGAAATACACAGGCAACTTCCGTGTGTAATGCACGGCCATTCCTGTAACCACGGTTTCGCTCTAACGGTGTTGGAGCATTGGGGAAATCCCTTGTATAGCACGGTTTCGTTCTAACACAGAGAATTGCGTAAAATCGTACATAGTTTTATCAGTACATAGTTTATTCAGTTTTATCAGCTGCCTTTTATTTCGCCAGTATGTTATTCTTGGTACCACACTTATCAAACGTAGTGAGAAACACGACAAGAATGATAACAAAAACAGTAAAAAATATCTCCTTGTTATCTAACAATTCTCCCCTGAATTAATAATTAATAATCGTTTACTATAAATTGGTACAGCTTCCTGGGAATATCGCAGACTTTTATATACACATCCAACGTGTTAACCGAGCGAAAATTTTCTGCACTATTCGATCTATTTTATTTCATCAGCGCCGCCTTCTCGATACAGAGAAAATAATGCACACAACCCTTGTACCCTGCGATCAGAAAAGAGAATTCACCCGAAGGGGTCAACCCCTTTCCGTCGTTCCCCCGTCCGTGATATATCCAGGGGAATCTAGGGTAACGAGATTCACGTTCAGGTGGCCCAGACACAATAATTTCCTCGAGCGATCGGTTCCTGATTGCTATGGGCGTGTCCCGGACCCCTCGAACCGACCCTTCTCGCCCCGGTTCCACTGTTACCATTTTCTCTGTTCGTTCGACGGCGAAAAAGATCGCAATCGTCGCCCTGCTTTTCATCGGTTCTGCTCGACCGGGGTCCTCGTTTTCTACGGTGGAACGTCTCTCTTTCACCAGCCCTGGCAGGAGGGCGGAGAAGGAAACTCTGGGGAGATTGACACGTTTTCACGTTCAATCGGTTGTGAAACGCCCTGGCGTCACCGAGACATCCAGGCCTTGCCTCGACGTTGTTCGGAGAGATCCCCTCCTCAACGGACGAAATTCGATAACGTCGAAGCCTTAATTGTTTGCCCGGTAGTGAATCGAGATCGCGTCTAGTTTCAATTTCGGTGTGTTCCATCGAACCGAGATCCCGAGAGGAAAAGCGGTTATGTTCCCTCTCAGCGTTCGATGAAAGTTTCTGCGTGCCAGGTGCCACTGGTAAAATTTACATTTTCGTCGATAATCAACTGTTTGTTGCACGAATCAATGAATCGACGTAGCTTCGAGAAAACAACGATTCCGCTTTCGTAGGAAACGAACGCTCCGTGGAACATGTTAATTACTAGCGATTTCCTTGTAGCTAATATATGTACCTGTTCTTCGGGAGTCTAGCCTATGGAGAGGTCCGGAAGTTTTTTTTCTTTTGCTCCTGTTCTATAGTCCCTTGAGAGGATAAACCAGTCGAGAGGTGAATCGTAATTAATAAAATATCGGGTCAGAGTGCAGGGGGGAAAGCTTCTTAGCCGGGGAAAAGTGAGTGGCTCCCTTGGATTCGGCAGTCGTCGTACAAATCCGGCCGTTCTCGCGTCATTACCGGATTTTCATGGTGGCTAGAGCACGGGGGATGAGACAAAGCCTGCCTTTTAAGAAGCGACCGGCGTCCGAGAGAATAATTCCGGGCGGTTTAAGGAGATAAACTCGCTGGCTAGGCCGCTGAAAAGTCGACCTCTCCCCTTAACTGCGATTTTAATGCAGTTTTTTTTAAATGGATTTCCTCCTTTTTCACATTTTCACCCGTAAACTGTGACTAATTCGTTCATCTTTTTTCCCCGTGATTCTGTTGTAGGTATCTGAAACGATACTTTTCTCAATACTTCTCTTTCAAAAAATTCCCAAAATTTGCCTCATTATCAGAGATCCGAAAGGTCATGCAATAATTTAATTTGTTTCACATTAGTTATATTTTTTATATCTGTCTGAATCCTATTCTTATAATTGTTACAGCTTATTATACCTCATTTTTACACCATTGTATTTGTGTGCCGTAACGTTTCGAACCAAATATTGTAAAAATGACTGTAAAATTAAATTAAATATTATTTCGACTGGCGAACACACTTCTCGCGGGGAAACTATATAATAGGTGCTCATCGATGCCCAATCTGTACTACAGACTCATTCAATGAATTATTTTCTTCGTTCTATCGATAACAAGAATCTATCCACGTTTCTTTTTATTCATTTTCGGAGGCTTGTATATACGAGAAACGTGTTTCCATATTCCGTAGGAACGAGCCCCGGGGCGGATATCTCCGACGTTTCTCGGCGTTCATTTATTCATTTCGGCTGGCCGTGGCTTGTCCACGATTTTTGACAGACAGAACACGGGAACCAACCCCTGGTATATACGTCCGCGGATTTGTTTCCCGAGCCCTCCCCTCGCATCCCTTGTTCCCGTAGGAAATAAACGGCCGGAGAGCAATAACTGGTTTACGCCCCGGAAAAACCGGGGCCACCGAGAACAATTCGTCGGCGTTGCATTATTAAACAATCTTGAATTCGGATTTATTGCCGCAACGGTGAGGCTGGGCGTGTGAACGAGGGTTTCCGTATGAAACACACCAGGGGCAATCATTCTTTCCCGCGATTGCTCCTTGCGCACCGCGAAATATCGCAGTATTGTTCTTTCCAGTCTTCGACGATTCATCTCCAACGATCAGCCCCAGTTGACGGTTATGAATTTCCAACGATATCACCGATAGTTTAACACGTTGAACCGCCACAGTTTTTACGCTTGGTTCTGTACCACGATAAATTACGTTTCTATTACCAAAATTTCCAACTGTGAATTTTGTATAATTTTTCAATCTTAAAAAATTAGATTGGAAATTGAGAAAGTGAAATAAGTAGAACCACACCTTTAGATCTCTTCACGTTGAGAAAGCTCTTTATTAATAACAATAAAAGTTATTTACGCGTTCACTGGGACACCCATTACTACTTTCATCATCACCCCACTAGTAATCGTCTCTATAAAATGTTGAATATTCCTGTTTAGAAATTCAATGTTTCTTCGACTAATTCAATGGCGTAATTTACACAAAAATGAAGACATCTTGACGGTAGAGAGACCGAGTAA